GTTTTACTGTAGTTCATTTTACATAAGCTCAAGCCCAGTGATCTGTTTTCTGCCTCTCTGCATAAAACACTTTCAGGTATTTTGAGATTCAACAGCACAGGCTTATGCAACAACGGTTTCCATCCACAAACAGTCCATTAGGCTGTGTTTGTTAATGTAGCATGGCAAATTTCTTATTCAATACAGTTAAAAATAATGATTTAACTGTAACCTGCGCCTGCTGAAATGTTTTGGACTTTTATTGAATGTTACACAGAATTAAAAATTTTGATTTTTGAAATTATTTGTTTGTATATATATATATATATACATATATATAAATATATATGTATATATATATATACATACATATATACAATATATTTTTATATAACCTGTATATAAATATATGGTCAGCAAATCCCAAAACATGCACAATACATTTACAGCCTTTTCACAAACTTGTCACAATGCGATAAGGCTTTTATTGTGCACCAATGCGCACAACTTGCCATATACTTATTATTCATGAAATACTGACAATTGTGGACAAGCTGTTTGAAGAAAAATGTAAACATAACAGAGAGAATTATGAGGAGGAGGAGGAGAAGGGAGGCAGGGAATTATAAAATATTGAAAAGTCAAAAGCGTGCGAAAGAATCTGGGGGCGTGCGTGGTGAGAAATACGCTGCTAAGTGAAAGCAAAAGGGAAAAGAAGAAGATACGAGAGACGACCGGGGAGGGTGAAAACAAAATGCCAAAAGACGGCTACGGAGTGGCGGGGGCAGCGGGCCGAGCCTTAATGAAGATAGACAGCCCCCATCGATGCCTCAATAGGCAGGAATCTCCGATTGCCAGGGCTATCAATAACAGCCGTGTGGCAAGTACTCCATTGGCAGCGAACAAAAACACAGGCGGCATCTGCTGCTGCCAGCTCATATTAAAGGGAAGACACCCTCAAGTACAAACAGTGGCAGCCAGAGATGAGACTTGTAAGAAAGTAGACAAGGCAGGACAAGATAAAAGTCGAAGAAAGTGGGAGGTGCACGTATCCTCTAACTCAAAGCACCGGCACGAGACAAGGGAAACAAGATAGGGACTGAAAAAAGCAAAACAAAAACAAACACAGAAAAAAAGGCAGTCATTCCTGCAGCAGGAAGTCAGGCGAGTGGCACCGCAAGTGTAGGTGTATGAGGAGAGATGAAGAGAATTCACTAAGTGGGACACCCCACCCCCACTTCACCACCATCACGTTTCCAGCTCACCCAATAACCAGGCGGTCTTAATATCCCACTCCTCTAGCCAGATACGCTTGCACACATCCACTAATGTGCACAGGCACACACTGAAATGATGAGGAAAAACGCATTGAACTCCCCAAACCATCATTAATCTAAACTCCAGTTCCATTAGGGAAGATTCAGCATAATTAGTTTTGCAGTTTTTTTCAGTGTGTGTGCGTGTGCAAGCGGGCACGTGTGTGTTTCAAATATGTGCGCGTGTGTGCAATTTGAGTTACGAGGAGATGATATTAGATTGTATTGTAGAGAGAGAGGCTTCCCTGGTGATCTGCCATGCTGAACATGTGTTTGCCATTATTGCATTTGAAAAAAAAAGAAGACAAAAAAAAAGAACTCAATCAAAAGGGAATCTAATAGTACTGTTACTGTATGTGGAACTGTGTAGCATGTGCTTATAGTGTTTGTGGAGATGCTTAAATATTTTACACCACCTAGTATGTATCCATGAGGTGCATGTGCAGTATTACTGTGTCCATTGGCCTCTGAGACTCTGAATGGTAGATGATTCAGTCCTAAATACTGCACTGCATTTGGCCTAACATCCAGACACACAGTAAATTACCAGTGTGTGTGCGTGTGTGTCTGTGTTTGTGTGCAAACACAGCAGTCATCTTGTACGACCCAGGGGACATGGACCCAGGGAGTGTGCTGGTAATTCAATCTGGAACAGGAACTAGGTCTGAGCTGGTTTACAGCCTCTTCAATCTCCTGACAAAACGCTCGCTTTGAACAACTCACTGCCTTTGATCCTTTGACAACATCTACATCCAACTTTTGGTCAAAAATGCTTGGATTTTCAGTAAGGGCATGGATTTTGAAACTCTCCACGTGATACGATCTCCAGTGGTTTCATTCAGACTGTTGTCTGCCATAGACCGGCGGTCCCTAACTTTTCAGAAAATAATGTCATCTTTGTTTAATTACAACCCTCATTTATAGGAAAACAGACAGCAAAGCATGGTTGAAGGACTCAAACACTGATGGACCCTCCAATAGGAACCTGGTAACAGAAGGAGTCTGAACATCTGGTTGCCGACACAAACAATAATTAGGAAACAGACATAACCATCTGTTTTCATCAATCAGGCCTTGGAAGAAGACCAGACACGCTCTGATGGTTTTGGAAGTAACTGCAAATGGACACAGAGATTAGAGGCTCAATCCCTGGTTCTGGGTCATTTTTAATAGAATGGGTTTGTACATCTATAGGTTCTTAACCCATTTGGAGCATCACAGTAAACTGTGTGTGTTGATGCACCACATGGCTGGTCAGAGAGAGGCCTGGCTATTGGTGAAATCTATGCAACTTACCTGTCGCTGGTTCTTAAACCCATTTAAAAAGTGTTTATTAAAACCTTGTTTGTCTTAACTTCCTGTGACTGTGAGTGGATTTACTTTGAGTACTCTGGTCTCTGGTTTTAATATTAGTGTAAATAGTTGCTTGCCTCTACTAGCAATGCTCTCAGAGGCCTGTGATGAGACACAGTTACCGGGGCATCGATGCACAAACTCCAGACAGGCTCACACAGATGCATAGTGTGCGCCGGTGAAACTGTTTTTTTTTTTTGTTTTTTTTGTTGTTTTTTTTTACATTTCGAGCGTGGTTTAAAGTCTTTCAATTATGAATCTGGTCAGATGCTGTGTTTTCTCACACCTAATTACACATACTCCTCTGTATCGCACTTCTTTCAAAGAACGACGCAAAGAAGCTCAATAAGGCATTTCAAGCTTATTTGGCCAAGAGTGGTTAACATTTAGGTAAACAGAAAGGATAAAGCAGATGGGATGGAGAGGCGTGAGATCAGAGAGAGTGAAAGAGATGCATTCTACATTCTGACAAATCACCGTGAATCATCAGACTCATAGAGGACTGATCAAAGGAGAGTAATAAGAAAAACTCAGGAGGAGGAGGAGAAGGAGGAGGAGATGAACCTGAACATGATCAGAGATGACCTGGACCTTGGCAGCCAGCGAGATAAAAAGAAATAACTCACTGGCTTTCCTTTCTGAGATATTACCCCTGCACTGAGAAAGATTGGACTGTCCTGGTTACTGATTGGCTCTCACTCAGCAGCTTGACATTGTCAAGATTACTGATGGAATTACCTAGGTAACTGATCACTCTGGCATGGCCACACTAGTGAAACAAAAAAGTGTAGGAGGAGGAGGACTTAGTATTTATATCCCTGCATAGTGCAAGAGTGGGGGATGGAGTGAGTGAGTGAATGCATGTGTGTGTGTTTTCAATACATTTCCTATCCCTGATCCAATCGTTCGATTGATTCACTTCTTTTCACCAATGATGACGGTTCTTCTCGAATAGTATTTTATTGTTTAATTTAAAAAATAGTGTTGGTATTTACTGCTGGCTCCACACAAAAAAAACTATAACATGACATTTGCCTAATTTAGGAAATTATTTGGAAATCATGCATCGAGTACAGTGTGTAGTCTCGGTTTTTTGTCAGAAAGAAGAAAATAAATTGCAAAAAGTGCATCTACTCAACGATCTAATTTCAAAAATGAAATTATCGTAGTTAACACCTTCATTTTGACAGCTCCTAGTGTTAAGACGTCACAAGTTCAAAAAAAGCTACGCTAATTGTGGTTAGCTGTTTTGACAGCACTAGTGTGAACCGAACTGGGATTAGAACACAGTCGCTCAAACAACTGGGTTTTGTCTCCATGAACTGTGTGCATTTGTACGCACACAAAAACCTTGAACTACATATCAGTCAATGCCACTGAAGAGTGAACGACTGTATGTACTGTTCACATGACGACAGTCTCCCGACTTAGTTTTAAAGTGTTATTGACTACCGCTGTCTGCCTCTGGACTCAATACAGCCTCTTACTTTTCTTCACCTGAACATGAAAAAGGCTTGCGGGCAGGAAAAGGAAAATCACTTAGGTCCGCATTGATAATAAATATACTATAACCTACACGCAGCAGTACAATGTTGCCAGTTTTATTACAGGTTGAAAAGCTACTGTTCTCATAACACCTATATTTCCCACTCACGCAGTGCTTTAATAAATCAGGAACCCCACTGTGCGAGTATTTGCTTCACGTTCACCTAAATAAATATGTAGTATAAATATGAAGTATCACGTTGTTGAGGAACACTGTGCCGGGGTAAATTGGGCCAGACGTGCTCGTGCGCCTGTGTTTGTTGTTTTTGTCCGGCCTCTAATTGGGTCTGAATAGGTTTTTCTTCAGTGTGTGTCTGTCGAGCACACAGGGCCGGGGAGGGCAGTGTAGACAGTTTAAATGGCTCCGTTGAGGAAAAAGGGGTTCAAGGACACACTCTCTCACTCTCTTTATCACACTTTCTCACTCTCCCAGCCCACGTCCTTCACTTCCCTCCTCCCATCCTCCCTCTTTCACTCAGTATTCTCTTCCTGAAATCACCCGGATATTTCGCAGTCCTTTCACTGCTCTCCATCAGAAGACTCCACCCTGCAACCACACTCACACATACGCACACGCGTGACAGCACCCATGTCTGCACACACTCCAATTAGTGGGTAAACCAGAGACTAAGAGCAATTAGAGAAGGCAGAAATCCTGTAAGCTCTGCTGAACACGCTCTTGTGTGTGTGTGTGTGTGTGTGTATGTGTGTGTATGTGTGTGTGAGTCTGTGTTTGTCCCTGTATGTGTGCTGGCCTGTGTCTGCTTCACCTAAATGTACGTCTGGCACACAGTGATTTCACATTACCTGGCTGCAGGACACTGATTCCCAGCAGGTTTGAAGTGCGGTTGGCAACTTTGGTCCAGCTGTTGTCGTAATTCCTCCTCCAAAGAATGGCTGTGCACTTGTACTTTCCCGCCTCGCGGCGCCCGGCACTAGTCACAGACAGTCGGAAGTTTGTGTTGGAGAGGGAACGATCCACCGTGGTGCGAGTACCCAATCCCAGCAGCTGCTCGCCCCACTGCAGCGTGCCTTCCCGGGTGAACGTGACCAGGTCTTTGAACGTTCCCTGGTCCTCGCCGTCAGCCTCTGCCGGCATGAAGCTCCAGGTGACAGAAGTGGGGACTCGTGGGTTGTGACGAGGTTTGACCAGGCACAGGAGGTCAAACGAGTCACCGAAGGTCACAGATGGAGTTCGTGAAGAGGCTGACACCATGAACGAGGACTCTGGATGGTGGGAGAGGAAGAAAATAGAGCAGATGTTAGTGTAACACACTTACATTTCCCCAGGGAGCACTGGTGATTGCATAATAATGGATTGCACAGTTTGGATGTGCAATTTTAACAGTCCAATGTGGGCTTCAAAATATCAAGTTAGCCTCTTTTAACTCTATTCTTTAGGTTTGCTAAGAAGCCTCAGAAGGAAGAAAAAAATGACCAGCATTGATCAAGTGCTTTTAATGGTAGCAAAAAAAATCTGTTCATTTTAATTTGAAGCTCTGAGCTGTGCTCTGATGGGAGCGATTTATTTACTAATGGTTCATCTTCCTATGGGACATCACACTGGAGCTGACTCCAAATGTAAGAGAACCGTTCAGTGATCCTCAACCTACGGTGTTTCGTGGTTACGTTTCTCCATGAAATTTATTAAGAAAGTCTTGTTCCATCATTCCAGCGTATGCAGAAGATGGCTTTGTTTAAATTCGCTGGTTGTGCGCCATATATTAGATTGTGCTACATTTGATTTCTTTCGTTTGTGTTGTTTTATGATGTTATCACTGTGTTAGCTTTGGGCAAAAATTGATTTGAGCACCCGCTGTATAAGGAGATTATCAGATGTCCGCAGTGTGTCAATGTGTCAATTTGAATGTATTTTTTCATACTTTTTTGCACCACTACCATGTAAAACTACCATAGCAGATAGGAAACTTGGAACATGAAGATGTTAGCATAGCTCTTGTAATAATACCTCCATCCCAGTAAGAGGCAGTCACACAGTCTTAAAATCTTCCTGAATGGAACATTTTTAATAAAAGGAATAGTTCTCAGGAACATGAGCAAATGAACAGACCAATCATTTTCATTCATTTCCTACAACCACGACACAGTGACCTTCAGCTAAATGCTGAAAGTCCCTCTTTACTGCAACACTAATCCTCCCTTAGCTAAGACATCAAGAACATTGCCACATGTCTCATGCTACCGTTGCATATTTTCCTCCGTTTTTAGCCTTTGACAGCCTTTTAGATTAGCATATGCGTGGACGTGCACGTACACGCTACTCTGTGTGAGACCGCGTGCTTCCCTGTGTGAGAGTGTGTCTCGAAATTAATGGTGATGCAACAAAGACAACCCTGGGGAGAGATTTCCTCTAAGCGCCGACGTTCGATCTAAGCCCCGCTCCTTGCCAAGTCTAAACTTTCCTCATTAAGCTAAAAACATTTGCTCAACTCCATTTATTATTGCCAAGATACACCTACACCGGAGTCAAAAGAGGGGAGAGACTAAAGAGATAAAGACAATAGCCCTTATAAACGGACCTTAATAGCACAACTCCCAGGCACGTTTTACAGTTTACGTCAATGACAAACGTGAATGTGAAGAGGAAAAACGTAGATACAACAAATACACAAATGGCGAAGGAAAAAATACATCTTTACTATTAGATGAGATCATTTATTTCATCGATACATTGCAGATTTCTCCATTATGCTCTTGTCGACAGCCCCGTCACTTTATCTCCCTCCCTCACTGTCTGTCTTCCTCTGACAGCCATCATCCCTGGTGTCCTTCAGGGTATGTAATCAATGGCTTTCCGTCCAGACTTGGCTACTGCTAGGACCGCCGCCTTGGGCTATAATTCTCTAATAGACAATAACTCTTTCCTTTCACTTTATCTCTCATCTCTCTGAACCCAGCGTCTGCCCGTCCATTGAGGAGCTTCTCATGCTCCTCCTCTCAGGCATTAAGCCGTGCCTCTTGGTTTAGTCAATAGATTTGTTTCCCTATTTTATTTGAATATACAGCGTGCATGAATAATTCAAATTTATTTAGCTTCCCTCGATGTGAAGAGTCCCTTTAAGTCAATTAGCAGTAAAGAGAAGCTCTGTTTTTTTTTTTTCTTCTTCTTTAAGGTTAAAAGAGTATTCACTTTGTGTTAATGGTAGAAATGGTGATATCTGTTCCCAGGGGAGAGGTTTTTTCGCTCCCATGCGCTCACATAAGTCCTATCAGCACAGCTAGAGAATCCATATAAGACTAAGCTATGAACCACATTAAGGTACAATGGTCTTATATAACATCTCTGGATTCGGCCCATCTGGTCCACGCAGAGGGCTGGTTAGTCTGAAGCCCTGAATATCTGTTTGTTTTGGTGTGGTTTTTTAGTTGCAAAATGTGTAGATTTATTAAACAGAGACTAAAAAAAGAAGAGATGCTTCAGCAGAGCTCGCCTTCGTTCAATAATAGTATGTTTGGAAACTAAAGTGAGAAGAATGAAGGCAGGCGTTGATCGTCACACGACACGGCACTTTTAAACTTTTGAACAACGCTTATTTGCATAATATGTGCCTTGTTTTTCAAACTGTTTGTGGCGTTAGTAGAAGTCAACAAATGGCCACTTTAGAACCTGACATCTCCTCGCCGCTGCACCGCTGTGTGTGCTGCAGAGCGCTAATCCATGGTTTGTGTGCATGTGTGTATATTAAGTCTAGTTCTCCTGGCCTGCGAGCTCCTCTCTGCCTCGCTCCACTGGCTTCCTCAGCCTGTGCCAGCAAAGTTAAGCTTAATTCAGCCCTCGCTGAGGAGACCCACAGACTGTGAAACACATTGCTGCTGCATTTCCATTCTAATGATTCTGACTAATCCATATGGGTGGGGGCGCATGCGTGCGTGTGTGTGCTCTGTGATGGGTGTCATGGAGGTGTTTGGCATGTGGCAGGTGGGCTGTGTGAGTAAATGAGGGAGTGAGTGCCTAAAATTATCATTCCAAGTGTAATGCAACATGAAACACCATCCAAAAAGACACAAATAAGTGTGTCTGATTTTTCCAAAATTTTACAAAAAACAATAGGCATAATTGAGGTCATGACAATGACTGAAAAGCTAAAGTTTGGACTTAGACAAGTGATTTCACCATGTTTTAGTTCATTGTGATGACCTGTGACTTACTTACTGACTAACAGTCCCTCAGTTCTTGATTTTTTTCCTGTTAATTTAGACACTTAACTTGAAAGGGAAGGAACATTGTTTAGGGGAAATGTGTCTTTATGACAGGTCACTGATGGATGCTGATGATCAGGCTGTCAATCACTTGCTGCACATTATAATTCTTTTAGCGGCAAAAAGTGTTAAAGAGGTATCTAATTATCGATAGGTGTTGTTTTTAAAGTGCTTCTAGAATTCTCTTTGAATTCACTTTGCAACTAAAACCTGCTTCAGAGTAAACTGTCAACATAATCCCACAGCAAACGTAGACGCATCTGTCTTAAAGCCATAATTTGTTCTTGTACGGTTGTACGTTTTGTCAGGAATGAAATGTCGAAATGATGGTGAGTTAAAATAGCCATCCATGAGTCAACAGCATCCCTCGGAGGAGAACAACACTGGCCTAGAGTTAGCTGTGTCCCTCAAGTGGTCGCACCACCAGCCTGTTCACATACTGACTCATACAGAACACCCTGCGGTTCGGTCAGGCGGTGAGTACCTGTACTGTTTCATCATAAACTCTCCACTACAGATTTTTTTAACCCTAGGAAGGTAAATGAGAGTTTGACCTGAAGAATCCTCTTATATAAGAGCAGTGAATTCTTCAAAGCCGTTTCTGTTGCCAACTTCTGTGAGAGATAATAAACCACAACACGTGACTTCATCAGAGGCACCGCTCAATGCTACAAAGCGTACTTTAATTACTTACAGATCTACCCCAGGCACTGCATGAATAAATCATCATATGTTGCAATATGTGGAGAACATGTTCTGCCTGAGCCGTTCATCAATCACCAGGAAATAAACCACGTGCCTGACTGGTGTGTTATGGACTGTGTGTGTGTGTGTGCGTGTGTGTCATACAGATTGATGTGTTTTCAGATAATTCACTGCTTCATACACGAAAGTGATCAGATCAAGCTTTCAGAACTTACCCACTGTTTTGACGGTGACCGACTTGGTGGCTGACTTCTCTCCGATCTTCTCCCAGCTCAGCTCTGGTTCAGTGCCAGCCTGGAACCATTCTGTGACGATGCACTGGTACTGGCCCTCGTCCCCAGGTAGGGCGTTGTACAGAGACAAAGAAAAAGTGTCCGCGCGCACTTTCTCCACTCGAATCTCGCCGTAACTGGAGCGCTCTTTGTAGGTTGGGCTGTAGCGAACTGTGCCATCCCGATCCACGGAGACCAGCTCCTGGGCCGGTCCTGTCACCTGCTTGTCTGTCCACAGCCAGACGACGGACAGGGGACCTGTAGTGGACTGGACTAAACAGGTCAGGTGGATCCCATCGCCCTCGAGAACCTCGGATGAATTACTAAACAAAGACACAGTGATGTTGCTCTCTGAAAAGAAGGAGAAAGAAAAAGAGAGTGAAGCAGGTAAGAGAGAAAAGTACAGTCGAAACAACCCTTTCACAGGCGGAGAGAGAGTCACAATACACCAACATGTTGTCACACTGTATTCTATAGACAATAAAAATCACACCCTTTGTGTTAAAACATTGAGCATGCAGGTAGCTGGGGGCAATAAGTTGCTCATAGTTGAACATGTTGCCTGCAGTTTAAATCAACACAAGTGCAGAGAAGGTGTGCTTTAATGGGTGTACTGCATGGAAGAAGGTGAGTAGGAGGACGGGAGTGCAGTTTGTAGCTGGCCTCAGGCACATCAGTGACGAGCACCGAAGAAGCTCTGCTGATGTGGTGTGTGTGTGTGTGTGTGGGGGGGTGAGGTTGTCTTTCTGAACTTTCTGTGGAGCTCATTGACCGAGTCCGCACGAGCACTGGGAATAAGACGGAGATCACAGGGCACAGAGGCACTTCAGGAAGAGGATGAAAGTCATGCAACTGGCAACTACTGCGCCATCGTTTCTTGCTTTACATCGACCCTAACGACGTCCACATGCATCCAGTATAACGGAGCTACATTTGACCCAAAAGTCTCGAGGGACCAAATCTGTCATCTCTTAAGTGATTTTAATGCGAAAACTTCCTCTTTTATGTATTTTTTCCCCCTACCCTCAGGCCAAACTGTGCGGCTTTACTCTCAGCTTGCCGGCCCTCCTAATAAGCATGAAATCTCTGTGAATACGGGATAAACTCCCAAATCCTATCACACTTGAACAAAAGGAAAACTCTCCATCCTTTCCGTGTCTTCTCTGTCTTTCCATTTTTAAACAGATTCATTCATCATTTCTGACACTGGGTGGCGGAGAGAGGGTTGCCTTTCAGATGCACACATCCTTTCTGCCTTAAAGGTTTAAAGACCCTGTACAGTTCTGCTTTACATCTGTGTTTTATGGTTGGGATCCTACACCCTTCTTTTACTTTTTTGACCCCTACTTTTTTTTTTGTTTTTCTTCAATTGCTTTATTTCTACACGACCTTCTTTACAGTCTTCATCTTTTCCAACGTAGGTCCAATTAAGCCAAGGTCAGGTTTGGTATTAATCCATTATTATTACTGTTAGCTGCATGTCCTTGATGGCTCCTAGCTGAGGTTTCATTTATTAGCTTCATGATAATGTACACTCACATCCTCCATCCTTGGACAGACACTGCTTCTCTTTGAGACCATCTTCCGAATGCTGTTGAATGTTAAAAATCTTTTTTGTTACTGTTCAATCTGCCAGATTATTAAAACTCCCGCAACTTTTTTTCCTGTTCTCCAATTAAGTTCTTTGATTGATCGCTTCTAAATGACTGGGACTTCTTAATATGTCCTCCATGTCTCTGAACTGTACAAAAGAACTGATTTCAAGTTAGTTTTAATAATTTAATAATCCCCTCTGAATGCACTCAGTGTTGTCTCAAAGTGAAAAAGCACTAAGATGCTGGCGTACTCCCAGTCTCTGAGCCCTTTGTCTGGGGCTATTGTATTGCTCTTTAGAAGAGCTGGGCAAACTTTTTGGCTCACAAGCAAAAAAGAAGTTCAAAATATGACCAGCAGGCCAGCTTAGTATTGGCTGCATTTAGAATGCTTTGGCAAAATAATATAAATAAAACGTACATGATTAAACTAAAAAAAAATGGCATGTTTAAAGTCTACCGCCATCTAATGGCACCCCCTGAAATTACAGTTGATTCGTTGTAATTCATAAAACAGAATGATTGACATTACTCTTTATCATAGAATGTAGGGTTAGGGTTAGGGTTAGTGGGCCAGAATAGAAAGCTCACCGGCTTGACATTACTCTTTATCATAGAATGTACCAGTGTTTAGTGGGCCAGATTAGAAAGCTCAGCGGGCTGTATCTGGCCCACGGGCCATAGTTTGCCAAAGTCTGCTCCTATAGGCATACAAAAACTACTATTCAAAACAGTCCAGATGAGATAACGCATCTAAAAGTTATATTTATACTATTTCCTGTTTCATTTACATTAATACTGATGGCAGCAGCAGCTACCATCCCTGTTTTCTGTTTCTTTTATTAGCCTTTACCTCATCAACCATCACCGCCCGCGGTATCCTGTAACAAATTCCAGCCCAATAGCTACATTCATTGTGCTAAAACACATCTTGAACCCGTCTGTGAGGATGCAGGTCAGGGAGAGCAGGCATGAAAGGGCAGTTATTGGAGGGAACTGATGCTGCCTGGCTGCCACTGCTGTGTTTCCTAACAGTTCTGCCCCCCATAACCATGGGCCATTATCCTGTGTAAACACTGTAAACATATTTTATAGGGCATTAAGGTGTTTTGTGGGGAAAAACAAAACCCATCACACGGTGAGGTTCCCATGACACTGCTGCAGATGTGGGAGCTGTTGCTTTGGGCTGATTTATTAATGGGGGGGGGGAAGGGGATTGTGTTTGTGTGTGGTTGAGGGAGAGGATGGGTTTAAACAGTGGAGATAACAGTGGTTGCTGGCAGAAAATATTACCATGCGATTACCATGTTTTAATTATACAGGAGGCAGCTGTCCCCCGAGTCCTCGGGGGCATAAAGAGGGGCCACAGAGGAGACTGGAAGACGTGCAAAAACTCTGGGGCTCCAGGTGACCGGGGTGATGGCTTTGTGACAGGTTTGCATGGTTTACTGTACATTTGCATAAATCAGCTGGAACCATAAACCATTCCTCACCATCCAGCCCTGTCTTGGTCCAGCTGGAGAAGACTGTCCTGCCAGAGCACATTAATTTAGCCCTGGGAAGCACTTAGAGGGCCCTGGAGAGCAAGGCCCCATTCTCTGCTTCTCTTCTTTTTCCATGGTTTCATTTCATGCCTGTTAGCTCAGCCTCCATGAGTCTGGACTCCTCTGCTCTAAATTGCCCAACTATAGTATTACCCCCCCTTTTTTCTTTTCAGCCAAGGAAACGGGAAGGACCACGATGCTGCATTACCAATCCACTCGAACAGAAAATACATCAGGACTAAAAGCACCATTATCCTTTTCCTCTTACTCACAGCTAACAATAGAGGCCGGCCAGCTATCTGTTATTGTCCAGCTAGTATAAAGCGAAGGGGAGATGGGCAGGAAGAGGGAGGGAGAGAGGGGAGTGCAGCTCTCTATATCAAGATTAAATACTTTATTAAAAAAAGCTAATCATTCTTACTGTAAATGACAACCAAGGACAGGAAAAGTCAGCCGACGAACAGGCGATTACTCACTGAGCTGCTGGACTGTGATCTGGACGTTGCGGGACCTCTTGCTGCGGTCGATGAAGTCTCCTGTAGGCGTCTTCTCCCGCTCCGTCACGCGGCAGATGTATTTCCCGGCATCTTCGGGACGAAGGTGCTGCAGCTTGAGCAGGTGGACATTGGGACTCTCCTTTCGCACGGTCATGTGACCGGCTGCCTCACGGGAAACGTACTCGGGGCCCAGGGCAGGCACGGCGTTTGGGCCCACCACGGCCACCGGTGAGCTGCTGAAGACCCACGACACCGAGAAGAAACGCTCAGGGACATTCTGGGCCTCGATGGTGCAGCGAAGCTCCAGCGGCTCACCGGCCGTGAAGGACCGCCGCTCCGTGCTCACCTGGATGCTGAAGTCCCGATCTGAGTGAGATAAAATACAGAACAGAAATCAGATTTAAAATTAAATTTAGTTGTAACTGATGTTCCTGATTTAAAAAAAAAAAAAAACTTCGACCTGATTAGAAATTATAAGAAAAACTCTTTCATTTATTTATCTGAAAAAGCACTACCACAAATCTACTACGCCTGCTATTACTAGGAGTAGTTCTACATTTAAGTATTGTTCTTCTTTCTTTGTATTTTTTCTTTCTATTGTTAGCACTACTCTTTTTCCCTTAGAGTTAAGGCAACGGTTCACAAAGTGGGGGACGGGTGCCCATAGGGGTGCACAAAGCTTTTGCAGGGAGAGTGCATTAATTCAAATTACTTTCAGTTCAATGTTTGTCCTTATTTCTCTTATTTATTTATTTATTTATTTATTCAAGCACATTGAGAAAATGCACTGATTTGCATTTGTTTTAAACATTTTTCAATGAGATTTGCAATTTTGTAGGAAAATCTGTGTTTAAAATGAAGCTCAATCAAGTTTTACAGCAATAGCTCTAAGATATTAAAAAAACATTTGGTCACAGACAGCTAAAATTTATTTTTTTTACAAATCTTTTTTCAAAAAACATACAAGAGATGAATGGGATTAAAAAGATTTCAAATATCCTTTCACTATCACTGTTTTACTATGGGATCAATAAAGTCCAATTTAATCTATTTCAATTTTGGATTGAGTGGGTGTTGAGAGTGGGGGAGGAGTACGGGTGGGTGGAGGTATAATATAGTAATAGTGGAGGAAGGTTGAGGTCACGTAGTGCATTGCTTTGGTAAAACGCTGATCTTTCATAGGTCTCCCACCCTCCCCTCCCCTCCCCTCCTCTGCTCTGCTCCCCCCTTGATTTCACCTCTGCAATAAAAAGCACATCTAATTAAAATTCTCTCCAGCAGTCTGAAACGGAGCCGAGCATCTTCCCTGCCTCCTCCGCTCGGTCTGGGGTGGAGCAGACACAGAAAACAGTGCGAGTGCTCTATCTCAGCAGCTCGGCCAAATTACAACGTGTCTGTACAACTCTGAGTTTAGGTCGAAGCGCACCGTTTGTTCGCCTGGTTTCATTTGCCGTATTAATTTTCTATACTCGTGCAGCAGGTGTGTGTGTGTGTGTGTGTGTGAGACGGCTGGTTTCCTTTCTCTGTGTGGTGTCAGCCCTGAGCTGCGATTACAAAGACTTTCTGAGAAAAAAAAAAAAAACAACTCGAGAAAAAGTTCAAAGTCTGGCGTCAGTGTTGCGGTTGTTACGGTAACGGGGAGGTGAGGATGAAAGGGGGTGAGGGGCGGGAAGGATGACACTAACACACATCAACACCGACACAAGTGTTGACATTTAAACACAATCAAAAAAAATTCATTCATCCCCTTCTATATATTATTCACAGTGTCATGGATGGAGGATGGAGGAGTGGCGGGGGGGTTAAGGTGGGGTTACACCCTTGACAGTTGGCAACCAAAGGACCACATACAGAGACATTCAGCCGTTCTCTTCAGTCATATCTATGTTCAATTCGGAGGGGTCCAATATGCCACCCACATTTGTGGTTTTTCCAAACCCTAAAACTCAGTCACAGGAGTGACCACAGTGACATTAGCTACTGCCGAGTCATATTAATGATCCATTTGCAGCTTGGACGTTTACACCAAAGAATAATATGTTTATAAACTCACGGAAAGATGATTTTGATTTATAAAGTACTGGTACTTTATACCAGTAAGCCACACTGGCATTTACATCATTTATTACCAGACACAAATGTAGTTTTTTTACTTACCTGAGTTTGTTGAAAGAAATGGAAAAATTAAACAACTGCAGACAATAAGGCGGAAAAGAAATAATTGTGCATAAATAAAGAAGTGAGAGGTAATGATTGTTAGGAAATAGAGTGAGACGCACATTAGGATTCTGTCTATGGCTCCTTTCTTTGACGCCCGCTGTGGCTGATTAGCAAGTTCTAATGATGCCATCTTGAGACCAAACCAACTCTATCTTTTATAACAGCAGTCTGATGGAGGAGACGCTCCCTCTCTGTAGATGTCTTTAACTCCTTCAAATATTCACATTACGTAAACAATTTCAGTCTAAATCGATGCAACTTATGCCCCAGGTAAGAAATAAGTGAGAAAGTAGAAATAATAAAAAAGTAAAAAAATAACATCACACACTTGAGTTTAAAACTTAGCTGCACCCCCTCCTCACCCCACTCCCCCCCGTAGAACAATTGGGTTGTCAGCCATAACACCTCCTCCATTATAGATCAGAGAGCAGACAAAGAGTGACGAAGGAGCGCCGAGAGCCGAGCTCTTTGTGCCTTTTGTCTCCACCCTGAAGTAGCGAGAATTCATCTCGCAAAATCTCCTTTTTTACACGTGCGGGTCCCTCTCTGTGTCCCATCTGCACAACACTATCTGGGACACCATCAGGCTATATCTGTCCCGAGGAGAACAGAAGCTTAATGGAGAAAGTCAAAGCAATCCCACTTTCAAGAGATTTACTGACACGAGACACTTGCCACAGTGTGCTGCGGCGGTAATTGAGCTAATGTCATAACTGTTTATCACCCATCTCTGTCGCTCTCTCTCTCTTGGAGAAGCATACAAAGAGATTATGTGTGCACACGGATGCAGCGTGTGAGTGTGATGAGGTCAGGTCGGGCAGGAGGTTTAGGGGGAAGCCAGGATTCGTGAAGTAGTCTTTGTTTCCGGTCCATTAAGTCCAAATCTCGACATCTTATTAGATCGTTATCAATTTGAGCCGTGTTCCTCCGTCAGCCACCTCAACACACTCTTTGTCTCTCCCACATACTTCCATTACGTGCCACCCCGTTACTTACTCCACCGCACGTCAGTCTGTCACTTCTCTCTTCCTCCCTTTTACTTGTTAACTCCCTCACATTAGATCATCTCCTCCTTTCTGAGTTTGCCCTACACACAGTAGCTTTGCACACCAAAGTCCAAACTAGGTGAAGGTAACTTTAGCAAGGAGAGATAATCAAATGTGATGTGAATAATCTTTTTTTTTTCAAGCTTAGGACATAGGATAAACTATGGACTGTGTTGCACTGACAGTTGATTTCCACCAGGGTAAAATACTTTTCCAACAAAAGGCCATAACATGATTTTAGGTAGAATGAAGATAAACCTGTGGCTGACATGACGCTCAACGACCTTTAAGGTCCAGAGAAATGACTTGTAGATCGTAGAAAGCAGAGTGTATTGTTCCTCCACTTAGAGAAGCTTTAACAGAGCCGTATGCAGAACTTCAAGTTCTGCCCTGGGGAAGTTGTTGTACTTCCTGAACTTGTGTGTAAGTATACAAATCTACTCTGACTGCTGCTACTACTAGAACTAGTACTACGATGAAGTATTGTCCGTCTTTCTTTGTTATTGTTCTTTCTATTGTTAGTACTACTCTTTTTCCCTTTCAGGTATGGTAAGGGGGGGGGGGCATAGTGGGTGTATGAATTCAAATTACTTTCAGTTTAGTGGGGTTTTTTTCAGACCCAGTGAGTGTTTTAAACTGGGTTTTAAACTGGGTTTAAAATCTGTGTTTAAAATGAAGCTCAATCAAGTTTTATAGCAGTGGCTGTGAAAGTGTCAACATGGGGTGGGGGTGAGGAGGTGGGGAGTTCAACATTAGTCAGATGTTCAGTGTACGTGAGGAGTGGAAAGGGGCCCCTGACTATTGGCTACATTTTCTCTGGATTCCCAAAGTCGATGAGAATGAACAGCGCTGGTTTGAAGACAGCGACGTAAACTCAGGGAGTGACCGGAGCACAGAGCAGTCAATCAACGACACCAAACACAGTTCTCCAAACCTTTTACCGGGTTTCCCATCTGAAGCACCAAAAACAAGCTGCTGAAGGTTTCAAGGACATGACGTGTGACAGGGAACAGTTACAAGGAGAAGGTAATTGGCATATTTCCCTGTTTCCAACATTGTCCAGTGCACGCCGCTATCTGAGCGGTCAGATTCACACCAAGTAATTCAGAAACAGCATGAAGAGAGACGTCTGTCTCTCTGCACAGGTTTAAAAAAAGTCCTATTCATCCTTATTAAAAGAAATGTAAAGGTATTTGAAAAGAGGGACTGGAGCCACATCTTGTATTCAAGATTAATCTCTATGTTGTCAATAGACCAATGGAAAAATGCATATATATTACACATGCTTTACCTCATATATACTGTAAATCATATATACTGTAAATAGCTACATATATAGATATATATGTAGATACATAATATGTATCTACATATATACATATATACACACACATATACGTATATATATATATATATACGTATATGTGTGTGTATATATGTATATATGTAGATACATATTATGTATCTACATATATACATATATACACACACATATACGTATATATATATATATATATTTTATACACACACATACATACATACTGCAGATCATTTCTCTGGACTCACCAGTGGGCTGAATACGAAGCTGTGTCTTGTTGCTCTGCTTACGGGTCATGGTGAACCAGCTGCCATCCGGGTCCTGAATCCACTCAGCAGCCTGGCAGTACAGCAGCCCCTGGTCCACAGGCTGCAGCTTGTGAATGGTCAGTCTATAGGACGTCGTGCTGATTTTATCCAGCCTCAGATCCCCCGCTGCTATTCTTTGCCGGTAAGTTCCCCCCGAGCGGAGAACAAAGTCCCGGGACAAGGTGACCAGCTCCTGAGGAGCAGCCGTGGCGTCCTCCGGAGATCGAAGGTACCAACCCACAGAGAGGTGAGTGTGCTGCGCCGTGGTCCGAGACACCTCACAGTTCAGGGTCAGCGTGTCGCCTTCCACCTTGGACAGAGTTGCAGATGGAGACGTCGCTGTCAGAGAGTCAGGAATAACTGCGGAAAAAAGAAAATATACTCTTAGTTGATGCAACTTTGTCAAGGATATAAAAAAAAACTACTACTGTAGCAGGACTTCTTTAACACCTCAAACCCTGACACGTATTTGGTACTACCTTCAGTGGTTAAGTTTGCTCAACCGACAGATACAATGCAAGTTTAATTGCATTATTCCAACACTACTGAGAACACAGCCAAAGCAGACGGCTGGTGCAGGGATGATGAGAGAGCTGAACAGAAAAAGTGCAAGAAAGCCTGGGAGACATTAAGATCGCCTCAGAAAACAGGTTGGAAGAGCTCCAATCTGTCGACAGAAATAAACGTGTACTGTAGTGTATTAGATGCAAGGAGCCTGTAGTAGTGAAAGAAGTATTTTTGGATTTTTATCACGATGCTGTTGTTTAAATGTAGGTGGAGACGAGTGGGTAAATGGACCTGGAGTGTTTTTAAAGCATTAATGACAAAATAACAAGAAGAGAAGCAGTGATGTTTAAATGGTGTGAGTGCGATGACTAACAAAAAGCTTTTGTTGTTGGATTAAATTATTATCAAAAGCCGAGGTCGGTTCAAGGAACATAGGACATTGTTACAATTAGTCACATTATCCTGAACGGAGGTAAATAAATTATTTTTAGCCATTCATAAGGCACACACTCATTTATACTCTTTTTTAAGCTGGTATTTCGAGTTTTCACACAAACAAATTAATGAACCTGAAATAATAGAGCGTTTAGTAAACAGATAATGTGGAAATGAGCAGGAGGTTAACAGGCTAAGCTGGTTTAGAAAATAAAGATCAAATAATAATGTTAGCAAAGAAAAAATGTGATTTTATTTCTTTCTCTAGAAAGAGATGTCTTTCTAGAATAATTCTGGCCTTCCAACAAATATAGATGGTGACCCCTGATGGTGGCCAAAAAAGTCGCTTTTATTTTAAAGCAGATATTTGTTGCTCCTTAATGCCTCGTGCTAAACTTTGCAAGACAAGTCAATGTAAATCAAAGTATTTAGATGAAGAAGTTTGTAGTGATTTTCAGATCTGTCAAAAACATTAATCACACTGTTAAAAGATCCAAGAGAAATCCTTTTGGAGAAAGAAACGCTGTAAACTATGATTGTGAAAAATACAAATTAAAGGGAAATCCACTTTGTATTGATGGTCTGTTAAAATAAAATATAAATAAAATAATCTATTAAAATTTAGATAATTCCTTTGAGCAAAAAATCTCAATCCATAATTGCTAACTTGCTAACAGTAATATGTACTTGACTGTCCTTCCTGCAGTCTAGAACCGTCAGACATCAGTAACTACCAACTTGTATTATCTACTGGTTACAAACAAGTGGAAAGTGTAAGCTGATGAGAACAGGAAGTGAGTCACTAATGATATAGAAGCTTTTTATTTTAACTGAGACTTCGGCTGACCCTGAGTCACCCGTAGATGGTGGAATTCTTTCTTTGTGCCTGTGTCTCTGAGCTGACAAAGACCTTTGTAGAGATGTTTTCATCTATTCAGCCTGTAACAGGACTGTCATTGTGGAGATGACACATTTAGAGCAGGTCTGTGCTTTTTCCTTAACTCACCTGCTCTGCCTTAATACGCAGCTAAAAGCTTTTTCCCCCGGCATTCTTTACTGCATACTAAATTTTTACGCACTAAATTCGTGTCCCCGTGCATCTGTGAAAAAAACAATAAACACAGGTGTGCTGGAGAAAGAACAGAGAAACAGACGCCACTAATGAAACAATCCAGGTAGGGGAGTGGGATGTGGAGAACAAAGGAAACCAGATCAGAGACGAATGAGGAGTGGGGTGGAGAAAAAGATGCTTGACATCTGGTTACTGGAGTTTAACGAGACACTGAGAGAAAGAAACGACCATAAAACAGTAGTGGCAGGAAAATAAAGTGAGTAATAAGGCAGGTCAGACACGATGGCACTCAAATTAGATGCCCTTCAGGAAACGAATAGGCCCAGATAAGAATAAACAGTTTCCTGAGCATCTCTAGAATGTACTGATGAAATCTGACGGAGATTTTCCTCTAATACCACTTCTAAATATTCTTCACGCTGGAAGAGGAAGAGGACGAGAGCCCTGCGATGATGTATTTGTTCGGCGGACACAAACGGCACATTACCTGGCTTCAGTATCAGCGTTTATATTTAGATGCTGTATTTATAGTTCATGACAATCTGCTTTACCTAACAGCTTCATCTGCCTGGTGCTAATTCCCTAATATTAGATCCACTAGACTCAGCATTAATTATCAACCAAATCATAATATCTTAATTTGATCTCCTCTTATCACAATCCAAGTGAGTTTGGAAATATGAAATATGTTTCCAAACTGCATCACTGGGAAGATTTTAGTTTTTTTAATATTTCATTTGATTTTCTCCAGTTTTTGCTCATGTCTGGTGGTAACTACTGCAAATATTATGTGCGTACAATGTTGTGGAATCCGTGGGATCTTTAATGAACAAGTGAAGTATATTGATTATCATTATTTTTGACACATCTTAGGGTTTTAATTCCATCTTTGTTGGTCCAACAACATTAATCTTGATGCAAATAAAAAAAAAGACTTTTCTAGAGCAGTGGTTCTCAAACTTTTTATACTCTGTACCACCTGAGAAAACACTGATCTCTCTGAGTACCACCGTGATGACCAACATTAGAATACAGCAGCAAAGGCTTTCTCTATTAGCTTCCACCACACAGGAGAGAAGTTTAGAAATGTTTAGGTGTCAGTTAAAATACTATACAATGTTAAATGTTGAAAAGGGCACTAACCAATAAAAAGAAAAACAACCAAAGGGTTCAAAATACAAAACATTTTTTGGTTCATTACACAGGCAGGTCATTTGTATTTGTTAACTTCTCATTTGGTCCATAAAAGTGTTTTAAAAAGATGACAAAATGAAACGTTTTCGAATTAGTTCACAAAACCAAAATATTTACTTGACGTTTATGTTTTAGTGTCAGAATAAAAGAATTTGTGGCTTTCATTCAGTTTGATTAGTTCATCGGCTGATCCTCTCTCTTACTTTGAAAACTCTTTAAAAATAAGGCACAACAAAAAAACACATTCAATAAAACACTAAAAAAGAAAAATCAAATTATAAAACAAAAAAACATTAGTTGTTACATTTTCCCACACTGGTCAAAATGTCGTTCCAAAATAATGGACAACTTCATCCACCAAACCAGACAAACAAATACATCAATTATGTTTTTCTGAGTAGAAAGTTAATTAAACTAGACTCATAAGAACAAAATAATTCCCAATCCTTGTTAATCCAGAAAGCTGAAAGTTGAAATCGATTTCATTAACTGAGGAAATCGAGTTAATTATTTTCTAAAAATAAATAAATAAATAAACAAAAAGGCTTTTAATTAATCCACACAAAAAAGAGCTTCTTCTTGCAAAAAAAAAACCATTCCACCAGGTGTTTGTGTGGAAATGCCAGCACATAATTAAAAACTCCTGTGTATCAGAGCGTCTAATTTCTCCAGTGAAGATCTTGGAACATCTCCTCGTTCATCTCCATCTCTTCAGTCCTCATTTGGCGGTGGTTTCTCACAGGCCCACTGTTTCCACAACAACACCACCACAATCCACCATCGCTATAGCAACCTCACCATGCGACACTGCGGGCCGGGTCTGAAATAATAATCGCTCCTCCCCTTTTTACACCAACCCTATTTTGAGTCTCCCTCACTTTACACACTGTCAACACAGGGGTCAGAAGGCCAGGTGGTTCACGCTGTCTTTTTCTGGCCTACTTTCTGGACCAGATTTACCACGTTAGAACCCGGTCTGCCAATCACATCTCAACAGAGAAATGCAGTTGGAACAGAGAACCAATCAGGCAGAGGCAGAAAATCTTCCAAGGGTCAAAGTCAGGTTGTACACACACACACAAGATTGTCCCACAGCCTTCCTGACCTAAATATGGAAAGGATTAAAAAAGACATGTGACAGCATCTTAATGCAACCCCCGGGATTGTGTTTGTGAGTGTGTACTCACTCAGAAAAAAAGTTGAATTTTAATCTTAAAAAAAAAACACTCTGTGAGTAATTTGAATAAAATTACAAGAATATTGTGATTTGTGGAACCAAGACCATCAACGGTCGTCACGGGTCATTTTAAACAAAGGATTCTCAACCTGCAACCACAGCCAACTGAAAAAACACGGCCTGGAGTTTGTGAACATTCTATGTCAAAATGTTTTGGACACAGACACACTTCCTGTTGCTGTACCTGAGGCTTAGCACCAGGGCCAGTGGCAGATTGATGGTTAAGGAAGTGGACTTGGGTTCGACTTAGGTCTACCAAATGCCAAGTTACCACTGAGGTGTCACTGGTCTGAACCTCTGGGACCATATCAAACACTACTCAAAAACTAACAGTGTTGATGAAGTACATCACTACAATGGATGTGGGAATACCTATTTATTTTGAGTGAGGCCGCTCCTCAGAGTCCCCCCCACTCATCAACATCACCATCTATTTAATGCTATTTAATTTCCTTCACTGACACTGACGATTGCGTCAAGGGAAATGTGCAGAGATTGATGTACAGCGGGCGGAATGGAAATGAATACCACTGTCAATAATTTCCCCAACAGGATTGAAGTAGTTTCTCTGTATCCACCTGTCTTTATATATCTGAGGTAAATGTGTATTCTGGACAAATTAGCTAATTTTCTGCTAATTTTTTTTTTTTTTTTTTTGCAGATCCTGACAGACACAGATGCTGTACAATCCTTTATAAATCTTAAAAACTCTATCTCACCTACTTTATTTATTTTATTTTTTGACTTTCATCTCTCTACAGTCCTGATCTTCCTCTCTACAGCTCTGTGAAGTGAGTGATGGTTGCCATCCCTCAAGCAGGCCTTTAAAGTCCAGTCACACATGCAGGGAAGGATGTGTTGGGGGGGGGGAGAGTGGACACCAGGACACAGAAAAGAAGGAAGAGAAAATTTACT